CAGCCAGATCTACCATCCAAGTCAAGAGAAGTGCAAAACACTTTTTGGAAAGAGCCGCGAATAAACCTTCCTGCGCGGCCCCAGGGGTAAGGAGCGTCAGCCCTACCTTCGCGTCTGGCTCCCTGAGGAAATCCCGCAGGTTTCCGCGGAGGAGATCCCGCACCTCCGAGTGTCTGTTCAAACAGAGGCTTAGCCAAACTCCTGGCGAGAGCTCCCTCCCCTCCCTGGGAGGGTGCCGGAACCCTTGAATGGCAGATCTGGTGGCCCTATTGTGGAAAAGAGAGGGCTATTGCCAGGGCGGCGTCAGCGGCACGCCCGGAGCCGGCGGCCGAGTCCCGCCGGGCAGCCGGCCCCGCAGCACCGGGAGGGAAGGGTCGGCTCTGCCGCCTCGCTCCCCGAAGCTCGCCTTGCCTCCCCGCCCTCCTGGCTCCGCTTGCCGGCTTCTGCTCCCTGATGCCAGCTTAGGTCCCGTCCCTCCTTCCCCTCTTCCCCCGCTTCCCCACTCGCGCCTCCCTCTCGCTCACTTCTCCCCTTTATACTCCCTTGTTGCCCCCCGCGGGGATCAGGGCACCAGCATCTCCACACCCCGGTGGAGAGAGGTAGAGGGGGAGCCCGCGCCCTTATCCGCGGGGAAGGAGCCGACACCAAAGCTGCGGGGATAGGGAAGGGGAGGCAGGACCGAATGGCCACGGCAGCTCGGGATGCCCTTCTCAAAGTTCTCAGCTCCCCTGGGTCGCGGGGGGTAGCGACCGCAGTCCCCTCCCGGTAGAGCGGTTCCTGCGGAGATGCTCAGCCGGGCGGCCCTCATCCTGGTGCGGGGGCTCGGTATCGGCCCATGCGGAGAGCCCCACAAGAGTCCCAAGAAGAGTACACGGACCCCGTAACCCCGTTCCGCCCAGGGCGCGGGGCTGCTGCGGGAGCCGGGGCAGGGGGCAGGTGCCGCAGAGCCCTTGAACGTCGGCGGGGGCTCGGCGCGGCGGGGAGCCCCGAGCGCCTGGCAGCGAACGGTCCCTCGCGGGAGGCGCAGAGGGACCGCCAGCGAGCTCGTTCCTGCCGTGCCTGCAGCTTACATTACATCAGGGGAGGAGGAGGAGAAATGCATTAAAAGCGTCAATTTAAAAGAGCATGCAGCGAGCCTCCGACTCCTACAACAGTGGCTTTCTGCACTTCTAACAATAAAAGTGCACTTATGGCTGAACTTTTTATTTGCTCGCTGAATAAAAGAAACGGTTCTTATTTGCATAACGCGGCACTTAAAGAATTTCCTCTGTTAGAGAAAGCCCGTTTCCTTTCTCCTGTTTCCTTTGAGCAAATATCCCCATCACATTCGCCTTCACTCCACAAAGGATTTTATTCCAGCCCGTATTTCTAGACAGCAATATACGTATACCTTTCTGTGTGTATATGGGTATGTGAACACATATGTTTCAAGACATATAACTTACTTCAGCTCCATGCAATAGAAATAGCAAGTTAGATTACTACAGCACATAAATCATTCGAAAGCTTTTTTCTCTCATAAGCCAAGATATAGAACCTGTTCTGAGGACTAGATGATCTTGAAGGTCTCTTCCAGCCTTGGTAATTCTATGATTCTGTGGCTTTTATTTAAGAATTCGGCTTTAATTACCCTTGCCGGTTTGCGGAATAACCCGTACCCCTATTCGCGGCAGGGAACGCGAGGGAAGACGTGCGAGGCCGCCGGCCCGCCGCAGAGCACAGGCAGGGGGGCTTCTGGCAGGGGCGTGAGGAGCCCTGCCTGGTGCCCCATAGGGCCAGGCCGGCAGCCGCCGCTGCGAGAGGGACACGGGGAGCCCGGCCGAGAGCCAGGGCCGCCCGGTGCCACCGTCCCTGCCAGCAGCCGGGCTGGAAGCGCTCCGACGATTGCCGTCCGTGTCCTTCGTGTATTTACGGACGCAGCTCGCCCTTTGCCTATATTTATCCGTACAATGCAGTGGAAGGGCTTAGATCTAGAAATAGAAGCCGAGAGCAATAGGTGGCAGGCTCCGGCTTTTTATAACTCAAAAAGACTTGCTTATTAGAGAATTAAAATTAAATTAAACAACAACAACAAAAAGGAGTGGACACCCTGCCTGGCCGGCTCGGAAGGTGCGTGCCGTGCCCGCCGTACCAGCCCCCGCCTCAGTGCCCTGCCGCCCCGCTCCGGGCTCGCCCGAGGCCTCTACCAGCGCCGAAGGGAAAGGCATAGGCGAGAGTTGCGGGGCCGCACTGCGAAGTGCAGCGCACCCCGGGAATGCGGAGACCGGCCCGGGCCACGGGCCTGCCGCAGCGCCGGGAGTGGGGAAAGCCGGCCGTCTGAGCATCGCCCGGCGGGAAAGCCTGCCTGTTGATCGGCCTCGGTTTGCATTTTGTTTGTTTAGGGGTTTTTTTCCCCTTCTTTTGAGATTTTGTTGTTTTTCAAATTGAGGGATTTACGGTCTCGGCATGCCACCACTCCAGCATCCTGCTCAGGCTCGGACAACGGGGAACGCTGGGAGCCAGTAGTCCCCGCCGCAGCCGCCGCGCTCCTTTCCCTCTGCACAATGCCCAGGGCAGTACCAGCACTGAAGCTGCCGCGGGGTCTCGACGGCTGCTCCCCGGCTTCCCGAGGAAACCCCTCCGGTAGCTCTCCTCACTCCCCGGCGCTCCGGCTGCCCACGCTTGTGCCCGCTGCAGACAACGAGGGCGGCTTTCTCTTCCCGCGCGCTCACTCACGCCGAGGTTATTTACCCGCACTCGGAGGTTTCCCGGTCCCTATAGCCCGCCGCGTGATTCCCGGGGCACAGCCCCTGTGCCCGGCGCGGTGTGTTTCGCCGTCTGGGAAAAGGCAGAGGGGCGCCTACGGGTCTTGCAGCCGCTCTGCGAAACCTCGCTCTAGCTGTTATTAGCAAGTCTCTCTCTTCAACCATTAAGCACTATTATTATCACTATTGCTATTAATTATCCTCGCCGAACCATGTGTCTCTCATTACAGCCCACCGTCCCTAGCCACATCACAAGGGGCTCGCAAAGAGCGCGGTCTGGGCCGGTCCGGGCCGCTCGCCGCCGCTGCGGGGCTCCCACTGAAGGAGGGCGCGGAGGCCCGCTTGAAAATAAATCAGGGGAACCCCGGCGGTGTTAAGGAGGGTAATAAACTCTTGTGATTCTACTGGGAACTGTAATGTGGCATCACAGGCTATGCCGGCGCCCTGGGCTTTGCAACCTACAAAAACAAGAGAGCCGGTTTTCAGAGAGAGAATGGCAGGACGGTAGGGAAGGCACGAGGGCTCTCCTGCACTCCCACTCCCGGAGGAAGCGAAGACCGGGAATGTCCCCCACGGGCCGCAGCCTCGCGGGGCTCCCCGGTCCCATCGTGTCCTTCCCCGTGAAGCCCCACCTGGCCCAAGAAGGCCTTCGCGGATGAGGCCTTGGCGCCGGTGAGAGTTGTCCGCCAACAGGGAAAGGACAGTGGAAGAGAGGGAACGTGGAAGAAGGAAAAAGCTCCAATCATGGCCAGAACAAACGTGAAAGCAGCCCTTAAACAGAGCCCTCATGCCACTGCGCGGTTTAGTGGGGAGATACCCGTGGGAGGAGGGTTTCGGGCAAGGACCTGTGAGGGCCAGGGCAAGGAGCAGAGCGCAGCCGGGGGAGGGCGGACGGGATCGACCCCTGTCCGTCCGGGCGCACCGTAGCCAGGCTGTGCCTGCGCTCCCGAGCACGCCTGTATGGCGAGGACTTACTGCTCTTTCCCAGTGAAGGGAAGTCACCTGTGCGGGGAGGAACTGGGGCTGTGGACCTGGATCCGGGGACACCTCAGATGGAAGTAGGGGGCGATGGACGGAGCCTGAACGCGAGCCGGCACGCAGCGGAGATGGATAGAGGCATGGCGCCTCTGCCCCCTTTTAAGTCTAGAGATGGGGGGAAAAAGGTAAGTAAAGAGGGAAAAGAGTGCTCAAATGACGACGAGAGTATAGAAGTGGGATTGCCGGCCTGATCCGGACCTCTTCTGGCTACCCTGCGCCCTCATTCCGTAGGCACCGTCCGTTTTAGGGTCTCCCTGGAGACACGGTCCTATCGCTGTCCCTGCCCGTTGGGGAAACGGTGGACTGACTCATCCCAGGATAGGGACCACCTCAGAGGCGACGCGCTCAATCTAGGCCGGGGCAGTCTCTCTTCACCCACACAGAAATCGCGGTGAGGAAGAGGGATTTCATTTCCACTTTCTCTTTATGGGAAAACTGATTAGGGGAATTTATTTGTTTCGTTGTTGAATTTTTGTTTGTTTTTAGGGGGTGTTGTTTGTTTGTTTTCCTTTTTTCCTAACCCCCCAGCTACAGCGGAGACCTCCCGAAGAAGCCTTTTAAAGCCACGCTCGGAAACGACACGAGGAGCGCCCCCGTTCCCGGCTGTCCTGTGAGCGCCAGCGCGAGGGAGTGTCTTAATTGCCGCTAATGACCCGCAGAGAGGATGCGAGGGAGTTATCTGCAGCCGGGCAGAAATCAATTAGAGAAGTGGCAATTAGGAGAGAAAGTGAGAGACAGGAGAGACCGTTACAGTGAAAAGTGAAGATTTCGGTGAAGTTTTCCAGAAATTCTTCGTGTGGAAAAGTGTCCCCGCTGAGAGTACACTGTGCAGCCCGGCGCTCCGCTCTTTCTTTCTCTCCCGGTTTCTGCGGACCTCCCCGCACTGCTCAAGAACTAGCGCTTTGCGGGAGCGCAGCGGCCCCGTTCCGAAATTACGATTATGATCACCGCAAAGCTGGACACTGCGGGAAAGGCGGCTTCCCGCGGGCGTCGGAGGCTCCAGACCCGTCTGAGAATGAAGATACTCGTGGGGCACGGCGGCACCCGCTGCGGCGGGAGGGGGCTACGCGCCGGAGCCGGGCAAGGTCTCCTTGACCCTGGTAGGGTTTGTTCTGCCGGGCAACCACCCCCCACATCCCCGGGAGGCCCTTTCCAGGCCCGGGAGTATCTCTCCGTTTTCGCCTCCAGTGTTTCCCCCGCGGCACGCCAGGGACTCACCGTAACAGGAGACCTGCAGAGTTCCGTTGTGGCTGCTGCTTTCTTGCAGCTTGATGTTGCTGTCCGGGGGGGTTTTGCAGGGGCCTCGCTGCATGTAGAGGTGCGGCGGCTGTTGCTGCGGAGGGTATTTGTTAAAGGAGGCTGGAGCCCCGGCAGAGCCGGCAGCCTGCACACTGCCATCCAGGGACTGACATTCCTGCTGGCTGTAGCGGCTCCGGCACTTAGTGCTGCTGTCACCAAAGCCTTGTCCTTTGCTGGCCAGGAAAGTAGGGCTGAACTTGTCACTTGCTTGAAATGCCCTAAAAGGCGAGGAGCCTTCTGTGTCCTGGGAGGCTGCGTTGTAGTAGGAATCCATGGCAGCCGGATCACAATAAGAAACACAAGTATCAGCATTCATTCCTAAAATTAAAAGGCCCGAGTGTCCTTAATGCGCTTGGAGGGGCACCAGGAACCACTCTTTCTCTCTCCCTCTCGCATAGACACACACTCACAGCTGGGCTGGGGAGCTCTAAGAGAATTCAGATGTTGGTGAAAGCTGACCAGAACTCCAAACCCCCTTAAGATCTCGCACAGTAAAAGGGGTCTTTTTCTTTCCCTCCCTCCCTCTCTCTCTCACACACACACGCTTGCCCTCCGTCTCTCCCTCTAAACTACACTTTAAAGAGGCTCTTCTCCGCACTTTCCCCCCACAATAGGAAAGGAAAAAAAAAAAAAAAGAGAGAGACCTCTCCCCCAATTAGTATGTAGATGATGACAGTGGAGGGGAGGGGGCCCAGGAAGGGGTGTGTGTGAGTGTGTGTGTTTATGGGGGTGTGTGGAAGCAGAGGGGGGGTGGAGGTCATATCTTTTGCGTTAAAAAAAGTTTAAAAAATAAGCCAACTAAACAAAACAAAACCAGCCCCAAAAGTTTTTATGATTAAAAAACAGAAAATCAAGCGGATGACATGAACGCCACGAAGGAATGGGTGCGGGATCCGCGCCGGCGGAAGCGCCAGGGACGATTTAATGGTCGTGACACGCTCTGTTTGCTCCGGCCCTCTCCCCTGCTCACTGCCCCAGCTGCGGGGACCCTCGCCGCCGCGACCCCCTCCTCTGTATTAAAGCCAATACGGATTTCCCTCGCAGCTATATGTCTTTAAGCCTCACCCCCACCCCTCATCGCATTAACCCCTTCAGGGACGACAGATCTCCCACCGCTGCAGTGAGGCGGTGCCACAGTCGCCCCGCACATCGCCGGACGAGCTCTCCATCGCGCCTCGGCGCACGTTTATGATGGTCGTGATTTATTTACCTCTAAAAACGTGCTCTCTTCAGGTGTAAAACAACTGCATCCAAACGGGAGGGCAGCAGGGAGGGATTTTAACAGTGTCACCAAGCATACAGAATTGCACCAGGCTTCTGGGATTGCCAGAGGTGACTTGTAAAAGGACGGGGACCCTTTTTGGTTTGAGGGGTCAATTGCAAACCAAAAAGGGCTTAAAATAAATCAATACTCACCTTTCGTCGTCCATCTCCCCCCGCCCCCCCGCCATTCAACCTGATTCCCCTCCTCCCTCAATTAACTCCTACTACCCCTTCCACTTACTCGTACCCTGCCTTCCTCCCATCCCCACATCTGGTTTCTATTGCTCACTTACCTTGAAGTTTTCAGTAATAAAGATATTACGCAAACTAAATGCGCAGTTCTTCGGTCAAGAAGAAAAAAAAAGAAAAGAAAAAGTGAAATAAAAGAAGAGAAAATTAAGTAAATAAAACAGAAAATAGAAACGGAAAGGGAAGAAAAGAAGACCCTTAACCCCTTCGGGAGCGCGGGCCGTGACGAAGCCGGCTGCGGGCGGGGAGCTGGGGCACCGTCGGCTGCTCTGGGCTCCCAGCGGGCTCCCCGCGGGGTCCGGCCCATGTGTCCTCCCTTCTCCCGCGCAGCTTCCTCCACCCCGTGCAGAGTCGGGGGGACTCGTGGCTTTCATCTGTGTGTGTGTATCTGTGTGAGTGGGGGGGAGCAGGCTACGGCTCGGGGGAAAGCGGGGTGGCAGAATGGGGATGCGACCCCCAAGACGACTGCTCGGGAGGGGCCCGTGGACACCGCCAGCCTCCAGGCCTTTGCTCCAAGAGCAAGGCCAGCACCGCCGTTTTCATTATCTCAGATGTGACACTAGGCGCCCACCCCTCGCACCAGTATGCAGAAGAGATTTCTAGCGACGTCGTCGTTAAAAACAGCCAGAGATGGTTTCATTTACGAGATTTCAAACCATTTTGCAAGTCTCCCTCAGAGCAGCGCTGGGCTCGCTCAGTTTTCTTGTCCAAGAAAGCTTTCAGCGGATTTGCCTTCCTTATTCTCTTTATTACCTTACTTAATTCTTTTCTCGTATTTTCTCTCTCCCTTCCCAAACTCCCCCAACCCACTGCAGCCCCCTCTCCTTCCCTTGTCCGCCACATAATGAAAAGCAAACCAACTCAACGCATAAGAGTCTTTCTAAAAACCACTTCGGGGCGGCCAAGGGGGCCGGGGCATTGTCGGTACCGGCAGCCTTCGAGCGGCTCCGCCGAAGGGCAGCTGCTCTGGGTACCGGCAGCACTCCAGCTCCCGCATACTCGGCTCCGGCACATCGGACTCGCAGCCTCTCTCACGGAGGAGGGGCACGTTAAATACTTGTTTTCCAGTTCTTTCCCCCACGATTATTTCGGGGAACGAAAGAAATTCTGTGAGGGCAATTCTCGATGCTACGGCTTTATACTCGGCCTCGGGATTTCTCTTTGGCAAAGTTAAATAACAGCAAGAGCAAAATCTAAAGGCAGAGATTTGGGGATCGGGAAGGAGATTTTATATATATATATATATATATATATACAAATATATAAATACACACACATATATATATATAAAAAATTTTTATTCGGAAGTGTTGCGATGCAGTGGCTCGCAGAGGCAGTGCGGCGTGGCCGAACCGAAGGAGGGCTGCCCAGGTTCCCTTCGGTCAGAGCAGTCTGCCAGCCCCTCCTTGCATTAGACTATAACGAAAAGTCCATTAATTTCATATCACAGCTAATCCGCAGCCCTTGGAAAGGACTGCAATAAAACCCTCTCTCTAATGGCCAATTTTCCGTCCCTGGAAGCGGGAGGTTAATTTGGGAATCGTTACCGGGAGAAAGGGTGCGCGCAAATACCTGGCGATCTAGCGGGGGTGGGAGGGAAAAACGGGGTAATCACTTTTCTTGACGGTTTTCGTTTAGATGGATTGGGTTTTGCGTGCTGTTCTCTCAGCGAGTGTGATGGGGGATTCCAGCAGCCCCCGTTAGCCGGGAGCGGAGCCTTGAGAATACAGAAGCAAACAGGGAGCCTGTAGCCCCCTCCCGTTAAACGAGGCGATGGGGCTCCTTGTCGAGGCGCTGCCGGCACGGCCGTGTCCCTCCGGCCGCGGGGCTCTGCCAGCCCGCCGCATTCCCGCCTGCGGGACCGAGGATCCGCAGAGCAGGGACACAAAGGGACGAGCAACACTTGAGGCACGATATCACCATTTTTTTCAGAGTGATCTCAAACCTGCCCTGTCCCTGCATCAAATGCGTCCAAAAGGGAAGGGCGAAAGGGCAGTCGAAAGGTCTGCGCTCCGCAGAAACCCGTTGCCAATTCCGTGTGTATGTATGCTTTATATTGAGACCGTTTTCAGGTATGGTTGCTTTTAGTTTTGGAAGGGGTCACTCCCGAGGGTCCCTTCTCACACAGAGCTGCGGGAGCCCATACGAGAGCCAACCGGTCCCTAATGTATGGACGGCAGCTCACACCGAGCGAGTAATAGCTGGGGGAATTGTCGGAAATCTCCAGCGCCGGGCTATCCAGGTGTCGCCTGCCGGCGACACCCCAGGGAACAGGGACAACTCAGGACAGCCCTGCCTGGCTTGTTTTCGAGGAGCCGTTTCCTTTCTGCAGAGGCAAGGGTGGGCGTCGCTCCCGGGTGAGAACCCGGTGCGAGGCGCAGACGATAGCAGGCGGATCCTACATCTTGATCTCTGAAAGAAAAACAAATCTTTATTCCCGTGCGATTTAAACAGTCAGGCTTGTGTCAAGACCAGGGGAAAGGCAGAGGTTTCTGCACACTGGGTGCGACAGCGCAGGGCTGCGGGAAGCGGGAGCCGGGAGGGCTTCTGGGACGAGCCCCGCTCTCGCAGGAGGCCGAGGGGAGGAGGCAGGAATGCTCTTCCCCGCTTTCCCAGCCACGGCCGAGGGAAACCCGCCGTGCCCCCTCAAGCCTCCACCGTCCTCCCGACACTCCCGGTGGCTGCAGCCGGAGCAGAGACAGGATGGCTGAGGAGAGTCCCGGCAGGACTCTGGGGCGCGGGCTCCAGAACCCCCGGTCCTGCTCTCTCCCTCAGAGAGGTGGGAGAGTAAATGCCTCGGTTAAGGGAGCGAGGTCATTTCACCGGAGAGGGGAATGGAGAGAGGGGGGATCTTTCACACCGTTTTCTCTCGGCACTTTGGTAGAGCCCTGCTCTTGGAAACTGCCTCGAGTTTGTTTCCCCAAAGGGTTGGTTTGTGTGGTCACTTCAGAGCTGCGAACTCCTTTTGTACTGAACCGAGATCTGAAGGCGACCTATTTATAACACCTCTGCAAGGGGGGAGAGAGGGGAAAAGTATTCAAAAAGTATTCGCGCTAATCTCCCCTAACTTTTTTTTTTTTTTCCAGCGGGACGAAGACTGCATCTTTATTTCGGGCGTGGAGTTTGGCTAGCGACCATCCCGACAGTACCTGCCGCCTTGCGCTCTTGGCTCCTGCCTCCCGCCGGGCACCGTCTGGGGCCTGAGCAGCGCTTGGTGGGGGCTTTGCTGTCCTGCCTTTTGAGCCTTTCTTCAGGGATAAATGTCGATAAATGTTTGTTGTTACCAAAATACGTTCCTCGTGTCAAGAAGGTGCTTGCAGAGAACTGGAGCTGACCAGCTCTTCTCTTCCCGGGGAAAGCGAAGGAGCAGGCTCCGGGACGGGACAGGTTGGCCCCTACCTCCCCGGGCTTGTGCGGGCAAAGCTTTTCTATCCACCTCCTCCGAACTGCCCCCTGCTGCCTCTTACCGCCACCTCAGTAAGGCGGCAGTGCCTGCTCCGCTTCCCGCAGGCTCTCATCCCTCAGCCCTTGTGGCTTTCGGCTGTGGACCCGCAACCGCGCTGCCCGTGGCTCCCCCCGGCCTCGCTCCGCAGCCTGGCCCGCCTTACTGCTCCGGGGACGGTGTGTTCCGTGCGGATCCACAGGTGTGCATGGCCACCTGCCCCTGTACCTGGATGGTGTCACCAAAGCGGTCACCGAGGGACGGTGGGTGCGGGACCCGAGGGACCCAGGATGCCCTCCGTTGCCGGTCATCGGACTGAGCGGCTCATGGTGGGGCCCCAGTGCCCACTCTGGGTGGAGGGA